GACTCTCCTGGACATCGCAGGAGTAAATCGCTCCACCGTCAACATGGACGGACAGTCTTTCCTGCCACAGATGGTGAGTGTGTCATGATTTTCACTTCCTGTTTCAGTACATGTGTATGTGACATATTTTTTTATGCTGTTTCACCTGTTTTGATGTATTTTTCCTTACAATACCTACCTCAATGTAGCATTATGTATGTATTGTAGCAAAGTAGCAAAACAATCTACACTACATTTTAAAGAAATGAATACTTTTTTTGTTAGCAAGAATGCATTAAATTGATTGAAAGTAACAGAAAATACATTTATAATGTACACAAAAGAGAATTGTCGCAGATTCACAATATTACTGTTTTTACTGTGTTTTTGATCAAATTAATGCAGCTTTGGTGAGCAGAAGAGACTTCTTTCAAAAACATTTAAAAAAAGAAATCTTAGCAACCCCTCACCTTTAAACAGTAGTTTCTCACAATACCTGTCAGAAGCATGTCCACATCATATTTTCACATCATATTTTTTTATAAAGGATAAATGAAGCATGTTTTAGGACCATTAAGATTTTTATGCATTGTGAAAATTAAGCACTTTTTCCTATCAAATCGCATTACTAGCTACAAAATACTATAATGACTCTATATAAATTCTGAAGTATTTAATTATAATCAAAGTAATATTTTCTGCATTCAGTGTTCGTTCATTTCAATTGCGCAAAAGGTTCTTCATAGTGGAAAAAAGTTCAAATGTTCCTCACACTAAGATTTTTTTTAAGAACTGATCACTGAAAGGTTCTTTTGGAACCCAAAATGGCATTGATGCATTTGCCCATCAACATCTCCTGATTTCTAGGAATGCTTCCCAGACTGCGTATGTGAAGATGCCTTCAACAACACGTACGCCTGCGTCAGAGCTCTGAAGGATGCCAACCTGCAGTACTGCGAGTTCGCAGACAACGAGGTGAGCACATGTCAGTCAGGTGGGCAGTTGTGGACCAAACTTTACGCTGAACCTCAATGAATTTCCCCTGTGATCTCCTGCAGTCGTTCGTAGAGGTGTACAACCTGACGTCAGATCCCCATCAGCTGGAGAACATCGTGAAGAAGGTCGATCCTGCACTTCTACAGACCATGAACCAAAGGCTGATCAAGCTGCAGTCCTGCACAGGCGACAGCTGTCGAAACATCAAATAAAACCGTGCCAGAGGGCGGGCCGGACCCCAGCTCTAGCAGCGAACGCTAAGTTCAGTAATGTGAAGATGTATCAGGGTGTTCACTTGCACACATCTCCCCCGAAATTCTTAAAGCGAGAGTTCATATCCTGTCAGTATTTACTCACTCTTATGGTGTTCCAAACCCATACTTTTTTCTTTCTACCGTACAATGAAAGTGGATGGATTTGCAGTCGATGCAAGAAAGAAAGTCATACAGGTTCTGATGACATTAGGGTGAGTAAATATTTACAGAAATGTAATATTTGGCATGAACTCTCCCTTTAATTCTGATCTGGGAAGTCACACACACTTCCCTCCTTAAAATGTGAATGTATCTACAGCGTGATTCTAGTTCATATGCTGTCATACAGCTACATGAACAGTTTCTAAGGGCTTGAAACAGTTCAACTGAAGGTTTACTTGTCGTCACTCTTGCCTTACTTCCTGCTGCAAATTTTTTTCAGCACTTTTATGATGAATGAATGTTTAATTCAAGTCTCGTCGTGTTTGGCTAAATTATATACTACCATCAAACCATTCACCCTTTGCATTTTAAGAGTTGTTTTTCTGTTTGACCTTTTTTTTTTCGGTTATGCGTGGCTGTTTTATTTAGATTTTTCATACTGTGAATTAAACCTTATATGTATCCATAACTGCAAATTCTCATGTGCCTCGGTGGAAATCCTGTTCTGATGTTATTTTAAAAAGATAAAGGGAAATTTGCCAATTTTAATCTGAAATATGATTGTGCCCTTTTGCACTAAAGCAGTGTTTGTGCTTTTATATGATACAAATGTTTAGTTTTGAAGAATCAATAAATTTATGAAAAAAAGACTTACTTTGCGGTGTCCACTTGATGCAAAATCTTTTCCTTTTTAAGGATTTTAATATTTATTTTAATGTATGGTTGACTGAAAGTCATCTAGACTGATTAAATTAAGAAACTGTGAGCATGCTGAACTTCATGGAATATGATTTTTTTTAATATATATAGTCATAATTATTGATGACTGATTTAAAAAAAGTGATTTTAATCCTCGGATGAATTTATAAAATACATGTCAAATACATTTAAAATAAAAATGCAAAATACATAATTCACTGCTTTTTGAGTGGGAAAAAAAAACTTTAACAACAAAAACTTAATGAAGTAGGGTCATACATTTATTTTTCCATTAAGGGGCAATATTTACCCTCTGGGATTTATTTCCGGGGCATTTTCCCTTTTGTAATTAGAATGACCTTATTATATGTATTTGTGTTATACTTTATATTTATTCAATTAATTCAATCAATCAGGCATTTTCTTCTTCATGACCGGTGACTAATCTAAGCACGTCTGACTGGCCAAAAACCTGTGATTGGTTATAATGCTCAATGCTGCTGCTGCAAAAAAAAATGAATGCAAAGGATGCAGATTTAAACGTAATGCCACAATCAACAATTTTCATTCAATTTTACATTTGTTTTAATTAGTATATCTGTGCAGTGGCTTTTTTTTTTTTTGTCATTTCTCATTTTGTCAGCATATTTGCACCAAACCCCTATTAATTTCCAACCATGGCATGAAGTAATAAAGAAATATTTTAATCTTTACAAGTACACACAGTGTAAGACCCTTTCACGTCACTAAATAAAAAAAAACTTCATTTACACTTACTGGACAGTGTAAAACAAAAATAAAGAGAAATTCCTTAAGCTTCCTTTAATAGCAATGTTCTAAACACACAACCATGGCCTCAGAGATATTTGTAGACTACTTTTTCTTCTACCGTCTGCATCTCGATTTGAACAGGACATTTGTAGAAATGTGAGAGCAGTTCCACTGTGTAACCAATGAGAAAGTAGAATTTCGACGGTAAGAGCTTCTGTATCATCACAGCACAGATGACCAGGAGGTTTCCTCTGCGTTTGATCACCACCTCATCCGCTAAACAGCCGTGAAACGTGCCATACATGAAGCGTCTGATGAAGACATCCTCCACAACACGCTCCGCCGCTCCATCTTCACCCTGAAGATTACCTATGGGACGAGGAAGTGTATGAAACAATGTTATTTGGGGATTAACAGATACTACAGGCAACTGAACCAACAAGGTCTGGATTACCAGCCCTTATAGCGTCAGTAATTTTGGGAATCCAACAGGTTAAGGAGTGGGGATGTAATACAAAGATTGTGACTTACTGGTGTGTTGTGAGAGCCAGCCTTTCCTGTGCCCGATGTGATGAGGGTGATACGCCTGCTCATAAGTCACTGACTTGTCTCCTTTACCCACTCGAATACGAGCTGCACGATTCTGTTAGAGAGGAGACAGATCCTCTGGGTTAAAAATGCAGATGAAAAATACTGATTCTGCTGATACTGTAAGCGGTCGAATCTGTTTCTGTCCTTGAGTTGAATTCCTGAAATAAATGAACTTTTCCACGACATTCTAATTTATTGAGATGCACCTGTATAATATTCGATTTGTCCAGGCTTTGTTTCAAAGGGATTTTGTCTACAACTGATGGTCCGATGTGGAATTAAATCTGAAAACTACTTCAAGTTCATGTTTATTTATAAAGCACATTTAAAAACAACGAGTGTTGTACCAAAGTGCTGTACAATTGTAAACAGTTTTTGGCAAGATAAAAACAAAAACTAACACATAAGATAAAAATGTATGTATAATGTAGTATGTATAAATGTAAATATGGGGCAAATAAGGCTTTGTTTTAATTTTAAAGGCAGAAGCTCAACAATAGATAAAATAGAAAGCTGTAAAATGTGTTAACATTTTAATGTTTCTTCGTACTTTTTTTTTTCATTTTGTTTTACCATATGTACCCCACTTGACTATACATAGAAAAATAGAAGATAGAATAAATTAAATGCGCTTGGATAAACAAGATGCACAAAAGTCACTGGAGTTCACATACCTTCAAACAAGCTGCAGTGCAGTGAATGTTCCTGAAACATGCAGCAGAATTTAACTGGCTGCTCACAATCTAGGAAATAGAGAATATTTGATAAATGACATCTAAATCGTGATTTCCATCCCACATTACATTCAGTGCCAGTATCTGTCTATCTATATATCTATCAGACCGCTTCTACGTCAGTTACTCTCGATTAGAAACGAGTTATTAGTTAGAATAGCAAAAAAAAAAGTCAAATTCTTACCGACAGCAATTTTGTCTGTCTGACCAAGGACGTCGCCATGTTTTTGCTCATTCACTGCACACAGCCGTCAAGAGCGCATTACTGCCACCTGCCGCACGGGAATTACATTTTATACCGTGTTATGTGTATCAAATATTTTAATATTAGTATAATATACATATTAGTACACTTTAACATTATTGAGTTCAATTCAATAATATTATAATTCAATAATATGTAATAAAATAAAATAAAAACGTTTTTCAAGTGGTTTATTTTTGGCCAGACTTTTATTTTGTATTGAGTGAACAGGAAGTGCTTTAGTGGATTTTCTGCTTGAAAGAACAATACAAGTCAGGATAGGAGTAGATTATTCTAAAATACAAGATAGATAATGGAACTCCTCAAGGAAGTGTGTGCAGCCCAGTGTTATTCAATTGTGATAAATTATAATGCTAATGGTGACATAGGAAGTGCATTATTTGCAGATTATGGGGCATATGGAAAAGAGGACGTAATATCGCATTGTATCGAAAAAGTTACAAAAAGCAGTAGATGAAGTGGAGACATGGGCAAATAACTGGAGCTTTAGATTATCTGGGGCTAAAACTCAACTCATATTTTAGTAAAAGGAAAAATGTCTCAGAAGTTAAATTGAAGTTATATAATCAGAAATTAGAGCTGGTGTCAGCAGTTAAATGTCTTGGTGTATGGATGGAATCTAAACTGACTTTTGCGATGCATGCTATAATAAGTTAATTAAGAAATGTAAATCAGGAGTAAACATCTTAGGATGCTTATCAGGGGTTGAATGGGGAGCCTGTAGATTATCATTGAAAAGAATATACTGTACATTAATTAGATCAAGTTTGGATTATGGTAGTATAATATATGGATTTGCATCTGAAACCATACTTAAAAAGATTGAAGCAGTTCAGAATCAAGCTGTAAGGATATGTTGTGGTGCTTTCAGAACATCTCCCATTGCAGCCATGCAGGTAGAAGCTGGAGAAGCTCCTTTATACCTTCGTAGCTATAAACTAAGAATGAATTATTGGGTCAATATAAAAGGTACAAAGTACAAGCTGGTATTGCAGACTATAGTCCAACTGAAGTATTATCTAGTGCACCACCATGGAAATTTCCAATGCCAAGAGTTGATTTACAAATACAAACAATAATGAATGAGAAAGAAACCCCCAACGTTATTGTACAGCAGTGTTTAGATCAGGTTTATTCATCATGGTTGCATTTATCTAAAGATCCTGTCTCTGGTAGAACAGCTGCTGCAGTATATATCCCTAAATTTCAAAACAGTATTAAGGAAAGTATAACTGATCACATATCAGTGTATGCAACATCATTAATTGCTGTGATGGGAGCAAGCCAGTGGGTAGAGGATGTAACACCAAGATTTGTAGTAATTTGTTCTGACTCTTATGCAGCACTGACAAGTCTTGCAAGTGGATTGAAATCATTAAGGCAAAAACATCATTTATGAGATTCTTGCATGTTTGTTAAGAATAAGTAGTGTAAGTTTAATAATGTCCCTGGGGTTTCCTGTGGGAGTTGAGGCTAATGAAATGGTTGATAAACTAGCTAAGCAATATATATATATATATTCATGTTCTTTAATATGTTCTTAAATTTTGCAAAAAAACAAACAAGAATACTATATTAATAATTGTAATTATTTTGTTTAAAAAATGTAATTTCCTAATATTATGCTTTATATATATATACATTTTTAAATTACACAATATTATGCATTTAATATAATTTAATGCATAATATTATGAAATTCACCAAAATAGATTTTTTATATATATTTTTTTTTTATTAGTTGTATATATTATATGTTGCCTGTTTAATTTTTTTGTCTGTATTTTCATATTATGTTAGAAACAATAGAGCATGTTTTAATAAATAGTAAAAATGGGCATAGAAACATTTAGTATGCAAAGCCTTTTGAAAGAAAATGCAGAACAATATGAAGTATATAGTGCAATTATAAAAGTTATTAAAGAAATTGGATTAGAAGGGAGAATGTAGTTTTTGGGGGGTTTTTTCCCCAATGCCACACTCCAGTCCGGTTGGTGGCGGTAGTGCAACTTTTGGCTTGCGAACCGCCATAAAACACCATTAGAAGAAGAAGAAGGAAGTGGGTGCAGATAAGCAATCATTGAAGTGTATATATATTGGACTCATGAGATCAGTTCTCGATTATGGATGTATTGTGTATGAATCTGCATCTGCAACGTTATTAAAGAAACTAGATATTATGCAAGCTAAAGCACTAGTACATTCTCTTCACACTCCATCACAGTAGGTGGCGGTATGCACCTATGAAGTTGGTTCGCAACCCGCCATAAAACCAAAAGAAGAAGAAGAAGGAAGCGCAGCTGCTCTCGAAAGATCTGTTGTTGCGCTGCTGTTGCTTTACGTTTGTTTTCCATCAACAAGCATCGAAATTAGACAGCTTTCAGTCAGGTTTGATCCCGCTGAGCTGCTCAGCCATGTCTTCTCCGGTGGAAATGACTGAGCTGTATGATAACGCGCTGTTAGGGATCCTGCAGCATGTTGGAAACATTCAGAATTTTCTGCAGGTTTATTTTGGGTTCCTTTACAGAAAGACGGACTTCTACCGCCTTCTCAGCGGCCCAGAGGACCGCATGGGCTTCCCGCCCGGAGTAGCTGAAAAAATGGTGTTCAAGGTACTGATTGACTTTAGCTTTGATCCATTAAACTGACTGGATAGAAATAAGTATAAATGCGGCATTGCAGTGATGGCATCAGCTGAGAAAACCATGGGGGAAAAGCAACGTGACTTGTAGCCAATAGTCGCAATTTGTGCTCTGCATTTATCCCATCCGAGTACACACACACACACACACACACACACACACACACACACCCGGAGCTATTTTTGGTATTGAGGCCACGACTGGTACTGAATGATTATTATGTTCATGTACTGAGATATTTACATATTTCAAATAGTACCATGGTACTACTGTCTTGGTACTAGTTCACAACCTTAAATAAGTAATTTAAATAATTTATATTATTAATTTTATACCACTTTATAATTGCTGTGACTGTGTCTTATTAATTATTACAAATAATTACATTAATTTGAATAAAAAATATGAAATAAAAAATGTAAGTTATTAATGTATTTTATTTATATTTTGCCACTTTATAATGGCTGTCTTTAACATAATTGAATTTATTATATTAAAAAGTAATTTATGAAATTAAAAATGATAATTTATAATAATTAATTTATATATATATTATTTCATTATGCCACTTTATAGTTGCTGTAATAAACTGAAGAGTCTATTGAATTTACTGTAAGTGTATTTTCTGTCATTTTCTTCCGACAGACGTTTAAGTTATTTGAGAATCTTGCAGAGCAGGACAGAGAGAGGGCAGCGAGGCTGGCAGAGGAGAAGAAAGCCGCTCCTCCTGCAGTACAGGAGCTGGAGGTTCGATCAGAACAGGAGGCTGAAGCTCCTGTGGAGGAGAAGAGGAGCACAGAAGAGGCCACGGCTGTCCCGGCACCATCAGCACAGAGCACAGAGACACACGGAGAGACTCAGAGCAGCACCGCTGAGCCAGCAGGAGCCGCAGCGCCATCAAACTCTGATTCTGACACAGCCAACGTGTATGCATGACTTTTAGATCATTTGCTCCAAAATTATGAATGCTGAAAGACACTACTGTTCAAAAGTTTGGGGTCAGTGAGATCAAAAGTGACAGTTAAGACAATTATAAATATTACAAAAGATTTCTATTTCAAAGAACAAAATATCAAGCAGCACAGCTGCTTTCAACATTGATAATAGTAAGAAATGTTTCTTGAGCAGTAAATCAGCATATTAGAATGATTTCTGAAGGATCATGTGACACTGAAGCACTGAAAATTTAGCTTTGCATCACAGAAATAAATATATTCAAATAGAAAACAGTTCTTTTAAATTGTAATCATTTTTGACAATATTTCTGTTTTTGATCAAATAAATGCAGCCTTTGTGAGCATAAGAAATTTCTTTCAAAAACATTAAAAAATCTTACCAACCTCAAACTTTTGTACATTGTTTGGACCTATTAATAAGTTCTATTTCACATTTCTAGTAAACAAGACGGCTTTCAGTTGAATGCAGACAGTTACAATGGCGCGGTTAGAGAAAATTACACCTGGTCGCAGGATTACACGGATGTGGAAGTTCGAGTGCATGTGCAGCCTCACATCGTTAAAGGCCGACAGGTGAGTGTAACCTGCTGCCATCTGATTTTATCAGTGTTAATGCCTTACAGTTTGGCAGAATCTTCATTTAGATTTTTTTTTTCTTGCTGTCTAGTCTTACCGCAAAGCTAATTTGGTAACAGTCTGCTTTCCGTTCCGTCTTTGCGTGCAGGTGTCTGTGGATCTGCAGTCGGGGAGGGTCCGCGTGGCCTTGAACAAGGGAGGATCGCAGAGAGTCCTGATGGAGGGCGAATTCACACACAAAATTAACACAGAAAATTCCTTGTGGAGTCTGGAGCCTGGCCGCTGCGTTCTGGTACACATTATTTGTGTATGGTGCATCTGAAATGATGATAGTCTGATGTATCAGCCTATTATTAGCCATTTTGAGACTGTGTCCGCTTGATGGAGGTTTTATCTCCTCATTGTCAGTTTCAGAATTCACTAACAGTCTTGTCAGTTTATAAGTACTTGGTTTTCAGTAGGGCTGCACGATAAATCGCATGCGATATTTAATGCGCATCTTGTCAGTAAAGCCGCTTCTGTAATCAGCGGTAAATCTCCATCACGTGCGGGCTTTCACATGGAGCAACATTTACTACACAGAGCCGTTGTTCACTGACAAGCTGCGCAACACCACGTTCATAATCGCGCGATTTTTTGCGCAGCTTGTCAGTGAACACCGGCTCTGTGTAGTAAATGTTGCTCCATGTGAAACCCGCACGTGATGGAGATTTACCGCTGATTACAGAAGCGGCTTTACTGACAAGATGCAAATTAAATATCGCATGCGATTTATCGTGCAGCCCTAGTTTTCAGATGTCTTTGTGAATTTTAAATGCAATTTCAGCAATTTTGTATTACTGTTATTTTAGTATTTATATACTATTATAGTAAATTCATAATTTTTATTTAATATTATTTATTTCAAGTTTTCATTTTATTTCCAGTAAGTAATTTAAGCTAAACAAAAATTTGAAATGTTGCCTTGGCAACTAACTGAAATAAGTTAGTTTTTCATCTAATATTTATATTTCATTTTATTTCAGCAAAAATGTTTTAGTAGCTGTTTGGACTCTCATTCTGACGGCACCCATTCACTGCAGAGTATCCACTGGTGAGCAAGTGATGTGATGCTACATTTCTTCAAATCTGTTCTGATGAAGAAACGAACTCCTCTACATCTTTGATGGCCTGAAGGTGAATACATTCTCAGCAAATTTTCATTTTTGAGTGAATTATTCCTTTTAAAGCTTTGGCACTTGTTTGCGTGAGAAACTATCTGGCTATTGTGTTGAAAAATGTTTTACTTTGTGTTTCAGAAAGTCCATGAGATGCTAAAGATGGGCTGGAATGCTGAAGGATCTCCGTTTAAAGGCCAAGAGTTTGACCCCTCCATGTTCAACATCCCACCCAGCGCTGTCCAGCTTTGAGGTCACATGACAGTGCCAGATGTAAAGTCAGCACTTACTGTAACACACACACACACTGAAGTACAGTAATGGTGTCGGTTTCTTGCGGTTCTACCAAATGAACATCAACAGTGTCTGCACTGCACATCTCATGCCAATATAACTGATTCGCTGACACTGATTATTGTCTCATGTTTGGCATGCAAAATGGGCCGATGATCATTTATAATTTTTAGTGTTTTATGAAATGAGTTGATCTTACATTTGCCCAGTTACTGACTGTATTCAGGACGTATTGTTTGTTAGTTTTCATACCATTTCAGTGATCTACAATAGCAACAGTGAAACCCAAGTTTCATCAGATATGTGCTGTTGTCTTTAAGCAGATTGCTGGAGTTCACACAGGAGAAAAAGTCTTCTTTCACTTGTTTCCATCATTTGCATCAGATTTTTGTGCCTGAATCAAATAAAACCTTTTGCATACGTTAATTTTTTTTCTTATTGATTGCTTTTTTATATTGCTGTCACACTGTATTAGATAACGAAGTACTGGTACAAGCACACTTTTCAAGCTAACCACTTCATAAAAATAAGTTTATTACAATAATAAAACCCCAAAATTTTGGTCTCTTTAGTTCACCCCACTCATTTTCTATAGGGTTCAGGTCAGAGAACTGGGACGGCCATGGCAGAACTTTAATTTTGTGCTCCGTGACACATTTTTGTTGATTTTGATGTTTGTTTTTGGATAATTATACTGTTGAAAGATCTAATCATGGCCCATTATAAGATTTCTATGCCTTTGTGTTACCTCATATCTATACCTTTCTGTCAAACAGAAAGTCATGGCTGGACAATTTCATGTTTCTAGTCATCCTGGTGCACAAAAAAAAATATGTAAATATGAATGGAATATCCTTGAGATAATTTACTCATAAGAAAGCTTAGATTTTTTAGTGATTTTTTTTGAATGAAAGATCAAATGGATAAACCTTACAGATGTATTTTCACAGCCTTCTTTGCTCATATTTACTAAGGGTGCCAAGCATAGACTTTTGTCCTCTGTAGAGGACATTATATTTTAGTGAATTTCTCTGAGACCACACATTCAGGGCTTTTTAGAGATATCAGATGTTTGGAGGTTTGATCATAAACACTCCCTCTGCTTGGTCTTTAAATATGACTGATATTGACACGATCAAATTTAGCACTCAAAGGGAAATATGATAATGATTTGTAATTATCATTTACATCTGGCTAATTTTCCAGTTGTTTGTCATAAATAAACATCTCAGAAAAATGAAAAAAAATCAGAAAAATTATGGGGTTTCAAATCGGAATATGACTTTTTGTTACGAAATGGGGCATAATTTTCATACATGTCTTCTGTAGAGGACACCAGGACAAACATCATGTTAATTAGAGATTTTGGGGAAACACAAGAAGTCAATAGGGAAAGAAATTATAGATCAATATTCCTATGAAATATGAGATATTCTTATGATAATGTTGCCAAGTTATTACTCCCATTATAACACTTCTTTTTTTCATGATGGTTTGCCCCAAGAATACATTAATATGCAAATTAGATGCAAAGTATAGATACATTGAATAGAACGGGAATACCAATTTATTATACGCACATATTCCATAAAGTACAGTAGTATATCAAATCATTCTGTTATATCTTTGTACAAAGTTTGGTTAAAAATAACCTGAAACCCAAAAACTGATTGGTGAATGAAAACATAAAACATTGTTTTTACCTATACATGCCTTTTCAAGTCAAAAAAATTTTTTTTTTGAATAACTTAGTCCTGGCGTCCTCTACAAAGGACATAAAATATAATATGAATAATAAAAAAAAAATTTCAAAACGGTTTTCCATTTGTTCTCCATTTGTTTCTTATGCTCCAATCAATGCAATGACATAAAAAACGACAAAATTCACAAAACTGAACTGTATATACTGTATAACACGATACTGAACTGTATATAAATGGTCTAATGAAGCATTTAAAGTTGTTATAGGTATTAATTTATATATGTATTATAGTTGTGTGTGTTTGTCACACGACATAATGGTCAATTTAATAATACCTTTGGTCTGTTAAATTGAACAACGTTTATTTCTAATGTGTTTTTAGTTTCATGATGAGATCACCTCGCATTACACCTACTAAAAAAGGTGTGAAACGGAAAGATGTTGCAGGTGTAACGCCACAAACAGAAGCTCCGCAGCGCCCTCCAGCGGTGACTGACAGCGCGCGTCTCTCACGCAGCGGAAAACAAGTGCACTGCAGCTGAACGGCGCATTCGGTGAGAGGTCGGTAAAGCAGTCGAGCCTGCTCGTCGGCGAACCTCTACCTCACTCGAATCCGGACCCACGTTTAAGTTTTGTCCTCAAGAATCCCTCAAGTCGAATACACAGCTGAATAATCGTAGTGCTGGACACACAGCTCGGATATTGCCGCGAACGCTGAGGGCTGAGAAATGGCAACGACAACTTGCACGCGCTTCACCGACGAGTACCAGCTGTATGAAGAACTTGGAAAGTAAGATTTGCTTTCTCTGCTGGTGTTTGTGCGTAACCCGAGTGTCTTGTATCGATATCACACATTTCTTGAATGTAAATTCATATGCAGAAGCCCAGAGGAGTTGTCAGGAAACATTAGAGGGAGTTGCGTTTAACTATACTAGTTATATACTAACTGTACTATTTAACAATTAGAGTGTATGATGATAAACAGCGATCTGGTGATCATTTTGAGAATGTTTGCTGCTTTTTGGCTTCAGAAATGCATTGAGTATCTGTGGGGAATCCTAAAGGCGTGTTGTCATGACTCATGCATGTTAAAGTGAATGTTTACATATTTACTATATGCACATGCATATGCTTTTTGGCACGTCTGAACTCTTTGCATCTCGCGCAGGATGCACAAAAGAGCTGTCAGGAAACATCAGAGGGAGTTGCATTCAAATACTCCCACTACTGTGTTTATTTTAACTGTCACGTGTGTGCTCATAAACATAAGCCGTCAGGGGCTAATTTTGAGGATATTGCATGTTTTGTGGCCCCTCCGGTGCATTTCATGCAGAAAGCTCAGAGGAGCTGTCAGGAAACATTAGAGGGGAGTTGCATTTAAATACACCCACCACTGTGCATATTAAAGTCAATATTTATGTGCATACAGTCTCTGATTATAAAAATGAGCATGCAGGTGTTAAATCTGAGGATGTTGCATGCTTTTTATATGCTGTCTGGAAAATAGTGGGGAGTTGTTATGTGAGCTATTATAGTTAGTGTATTGAATCAAAGATAAAGTATGAACACTCAGGGGTTAATTTAAAGGATATTGCATGTTGATCTAGAGATATTGCATATCTAGAATGCGCATGGGAGTTGCATTAATATGCATGGAAGTATTCAACATAATCATGAGGATATTTCATGGTGCATGTCATGCAGAAAGCTCAGAGGAGCTGTCAGGAAACATTAGAGCGACTTACAGTGAGTATATTTCATATGTCTGATCATAATGATCAGTTCTCAAGGGGTTACTTGGAGGATATGTTCAGGGTGGTACATTTGAGAGTTTAATCAGACCAATAGGTCTCTACATTGTATCTCTACACTCTCGGAAAAAACGTACAAAGATGTTGCTGGGGTGGGATCCTAAGGTAAAAAATCTAAAAGGTACATTATTTACCCCTAAGTGCAACATATTAGTACCTTAAAATACACATTAGTACTTTAAAAGTACATATTGGTATCTGTCATTTGACAGTTTTGTACCTTTTTTTCTCAGAGTCTATGTGAAGGGTTGATACAATGTATCAAGAGTTCTATAATGAACGAACGTTACAATGTATCATAAACTCTGGACAGCTGTGAAGGGTCGCTACGTTGTGTCGTTCTGTCCTGTGACATTTGGAGCTGTGAGAGCTTTCCCTGGCGGCTGTTTGCTGTCTGTAATCTGACTGTGTGTGTGTGTGTGTGTGTGTGTGTGTGTGACATGCCTGCGGCCTGACGTTAGGAAATTATTTTACTCTCTCAGCTCCTCTTCTCCTCCAGTCAGTCAGTATTGCGTTTCTTTCACTGATAAAAATGATTTTGTGGTGAAGTAAATACTACATAAAAACAAATGTAATTTCTACATTAAATAATTTAGTTCAGGCAAGAATTAAAAAAAATACAGTAAGTTCTATATTACTGCTCAAATTATGCTTGTAGAAATTAAAGTTTGAAATTATAAGCATATTTTACTTGGAATTGTTTGTTATGTTTACAAGGATTCTTTAAGTAAATATCAAAGTTATGATCCCGTATTTCCCATCATGCACTAGGGCATGAATAATTAAAAAGGTTAAAATTTTCACTGTTTTCGAGTTGTATTTACACTGTTTTTATGGTTGCTTTTGTCGTTAGGTTTAGTAACTTACTGTTTTGTGATATCTGGAGTTAATTTTCTACTCAAAATGACCCATTTATACTCAAACACTAGCCACTGATTGTTACCGTCATTGTGTATGGTGTACCAAGTATTGCGGTCTCTGTGTTCATTTGGGTAATAAATATATTGAGTGGGCTTATTATCTTCAAAGGATAACAAGCTATGACCCATTTATACTCAAACACTATCCACTGATTGTTACCGTCATTGTGTATGGTGTACCAAGTATTGAGGTCTCTGTGTTCATTTGGATAATAATTATATTGAGTGGGCTTATTATCTTCAAAGGATAACAAGCGGTCTACTTGCTTGCTTACATGTTTGCAAGTGAACCACATGCTTTAATAGCATGGTTGTTTTCCAGTGCTACATTGTTTGAGTACATTTTATAAACTGTAACTGAGGGAAATGTACTTGAGTATAGCATATTTAACAAAATAATTAAGTAGAAATTACTCCTCAAACTCTAACTGGCCATGTTAAATTTACTTATTTCCTTTGCTAATTTTACCTAACTTAGTTAAGTAGATTTTACTTAATACAATACTTAAATTTTACTTAAAGTTTGTGTGCAAAAACTTGCAAAATAAAAATGAAGTAAATCTACTTCTTGTTTTTTACAGTGCACCTTTTTCTACTGAATTATTAAATGAGCCCCGTGTGTATCACCCACAATCATAAAAACACACAGTAGTAGTTGACGGACTTCTCTTAGAAGCTGTTTCATAACTTTTTAAACTTCTCGTTTTAATAAATACTCTCTGGGTTTCATTTTCAGTTCATCTCAACGTAGTGTATTATTCCCGCTCACTGAGGAGAAATAGACATTTATAACTTTTTAAACGTTTTTTTATGTGTGACATTTCAGCAGATCTTCACCATAACTGAACTGAATGATTGACCACATCCTCAATTTGTGGTGGAGACATGCATTTTAGCCTTTTCTTAACAGCAGTTTTTTTTTTTTTTTGATAACTGTACACATAATGCATACTGTAAGTAAATATAAATATATATTTATTTACGATGTTATATATATATATATATATATATATATATACATACACACACACATTGCTTTCCATTTTTTTTTTTAATGGTGGGTGTTTACGCAGTTGGCTAGAGCAGTGCTGATTGGGGAGAACGGAGGTGCGCTCACTCTTGCCCAGGGCAAGTAAGATTGCAACTCAAGGCTGGCAGTCATGCATATGCTCTGGAACAGAGTAATATCGCGTCCATATCGCAGGCTTTGCGATTAGGAAATCGCAACGTCTCAAATCGCGATTTCGATTCGATTTCGATTAATCGCACAGCCCTAATACACACACACACACAATTTTTTTTATAAATACAAAATTTTACACACACATGGACATGTTTTGTATAGTATTAATGTGACATATTTCACATTAATACTATTTTTACTGTATTTTATTATATTATGAATTAAGTAACATTTTATAATTT